TAGGTACATTGTTATTAACTTAATTAGGGTGCTCCTAAGGCTTAGGAAGAGCCACACTCAAGGGGCCAAAGAGCCGCATGTGGCTCCCGAGCCGCAGTTTGCCGACCACTGGAATAGGAGAATCCTTATCCTCAAAAGCATTCGGGAACAAAGCTGTTTTTATCGATCCTCTTTTCTATCTCAATATGCGCACAAAGCGTGAGCTGAAGACTGCCATCAGCCAGTGGGACCTGACTGTCCAATACCATGGTCATGGCCACATGCGGCTGTTTACATTTAAATCGATTGGAATTCAACAACCGTAAAAATTCCGTTTGTCTTTAGCTACATCTCACGTTCTCAACAGCCACATGGAACTAAAGGCTCCCGTGTGGACATAGATTACTGACCATTTCCATCATGAAACAAAGCCCTACTGGACAGCCATCTAAGACGAGATTCGACTTGCATTCAAATCCAACAGAAAGTTAATACCTTTCAAGATGAACATTCACTAATATAAACCGCAGCTAAATTCTCCTGCGGTTTGAAAACTTTCCACTTTATTTTTCCTACAGTGAAAGTGACCTTCTTAACCCAGCATCCCGTCTACCTTTTCCTGGCCCCTCGGTTTTGCTCGGTTCAGAAGGTGATGAAGTGTATGGTCTGGTAAACCTGGAAAATGAGTCCGAATAGAAGACAGATTCTGAAGCCACGCTGTCCTGGGGCAGTCGTGCCGACTGCAGCCAACTGACCACGCGCCTCATTGCAGCCACCTTCCTCCTCCTCCTTCACACGGGGTCTGAAGTGCAGGGTTAGGTGGACATCGAAGCGTGTACATAGAAAGGTCGGTCGTTTGAAATCCCTTCATGACCAAGCTACTTCCTTCCCTAGTCTCTCAGAATTTACTTGTCTCCCATGCCAGACTCCCCTCCAGCCTGTCGACGCCTTAACTATGGGAAGAAGCAGGACCGGGGAGAAGTGTCCGGCTCGAATTTGAGTCCTGGACCTGCCACACTTATCCTGAGCCTATGGCCTTGGACAGCCACTTCCGTCTGAGCAGTGACGTCTCAGTCCTCACAAAGCGGGGATGCTCCTGAGAATCCCTGCTCCTCGGGCCGCAGTGGAGTCGCCACGGGGACAGATGGCAGCCCCGTGAGCGGTGAAACCAACACAACCGCGGGCGGCTGTCATCGCCAGTTATCTTACATTATGGCCCGATGGTGGCCCTGAAGGACACAGCACCCGGAAGGAGACACAGATCACCGCCTCTTCTGACGTACAGGAAGCGCAAGGAAAACCGGACTTGTCGCCTCACTGTTGACTCTAGGACCCACAGTAGCGTTTTCCACCTTGTGTTAGAGACGGGAAAATCAACACTAAAACTCGGTCCAAGACCGCACAAGTCCTGGCCAGTCAGGGCCACTGAACACTGTACACTGACGTTCCTTATTCGAAACAAAGGTCATCTAATCTATGTAACCCAGTCATTTAGCTCATCTAACCTGGGTGTTGTTTTCAAAACTCTTAGAGGTCATATGAGTGTAAGCATAACAGAGTAAACAAAACCCCAGCGTAATGAGGAAGAACCAGTGGGAACCCTCCATCCAAATAGAGTAACTTACACGCTGCTGGTCCTGTTTTCCCACGTGCGCGTCACTGGACGATCCTTTTCCAAGAGAAAAATAACTTTTGTTCTATGGCTTTTGTCCCTGGTCGTCTCAGATTTGATACTAGGGAGAAGGATTTCCTTGTTGACAAAAGAATGATTTTTAAGTTCATGAGATGGATTTCTTGCCAGGACTCGACCAGCTGAGGCAGTTCATGCGACAAACCTCTGACCTGGCGTCCAGCAAGGCCCGGCTGTTTCTCCGCACCACCTGGGGATTCGCACAGTCAGGGTGCGGGCAAAGCCCGGAAACTCTCATAGGGCCAAGTTCCTGTTGAGCACCTGAGCGGGCACTGCTCTGCAGGCCCACCAGCTCCTGCTTCCTAGTGGAGAATGTACCACGGGCAGGCCATGAGCCTGCTGTTCCTCACTCTCCATCTGCAGATCGCCCCCCTGACAAGGGCTATTGGGAAGACCACACACTGCCCCATCTCGCATGCCAGCACAGTGCTGGCACATGACTGACAGGCAATAAACACAAGCTGATCTTCTCCTCTTTCATGTATTTGCACCGTCCGTTCAACTGCATTTGCAAGGCCCAGTGAGCACGGGGTGGGAGGCAACCAAGCAAATGGTCTCCGTTCTTCAGCTGTTTGCACTCTAGGAGGAGCTCAGACAAGCACACAATTACAAGGAGAATATGCTCAGTGCAAAGGAGGGCAGTGAGCAGCCTCCTCAGGAAGCAAGAAGGGAAAGTGACCCCCGCTGCAGAGGTGTCTTGGCGCTCATCGGGCGGCACTGGCTCCAGCTTTTAAAGGATCGTGAGATCCACTGGGCACATGAGGGAGGGCATGCTCAGGGGGGCACAGCCTGGGAGGCAGCAGTGGGGGGTTTCAGGAACGGCGGGGGCGTAAGAAGGGCTGTGCGTGGAGGGAGGTGAGGCCAGACTGAAAGAGCCTGGGCCAGACTGGAAGGACTTGAAGGCATGCAGAGTTTAGACCATGTCATCGGGGCCAGGGCCTGCCTCTCAGGTCACGGCATACACAGAACATAGCCATGTTTGTAAGCAGACTGGAGTGAATGGATGGGGTTGCCTTTGCCTGGGCGGAGCTCCCCAAAGGCCAGGGGACCGATAGCTCAGCACATCTACATTTATTTGTGGCACCGCTGGATCCCACGGTACATGGGCAGGCAGGGGGTGGGGGACCCTCTGCTCTAAGCAGGGGGGCGGAGGGAGGCTTTCTGAACAGGGATATTACAGCACCACCACTTCCTGTTAAATGGCCACCATTCCAAGCTGTAAGCACCTACGTCAGGGCTGAAGTCCAAAAAGTGGTGAATGTCTGCAGGAGAAAGAAATCATTATACATTGCACTTCTGTTTAGCTTTTATATCTGAAAAGCCCGTTGTTTAAATAAGGGTGCCTGACCTCATACATACAAGTACCATTATGTCCAGCTTCTTGATGGGTAACAGCCATGAAATTAAAACGTGCTCCTGCCTCGATGGCCTAAGTCAGCACATCCGCTCCCAGAACAGGCTGTTACAGAAATGAAGTTGGTCGCCGTTTTTCCCGGCTCAAACCTGACCGCTTAAGTTCGGTTCTTTGGCTGTAAGATATATTGTTTTCCTGACACTTCCCTTTAGGGGAACCTTAAATGTGTACCCAAAACTGGAAGTTACAAAAGAAAAAGCCTTGAACCTAGCCTAGCATGTTCACGCTTTGCTTTCTTTCTTTTTAAAAAGAAAAACCTCTTTAGCCCTGTGTCTGGCGAGGCTGTTCAGAGCTTTCCCGGCATGCCTGTGAGCATCAGCCATCTCCCTTTAGGTCGGACCCCACACACTCAGGTCTAAGGAGCAAGAAACGGAAAATCAAACAGGCAATTAACTTTTATTTTCGTCTACATGTGACCTTTAACAAAGATGGTGAAAACCAAACTAAAACGTGTCAACACCGAGAGAGAAACCGCGCGTGGGATGGCACCGCCGTCGGTCTGTCCGTCTCTCGCTGGAGGGGAGGGAGCTAAAGTCCTACGTGGGCGACGCCATCTCCTTCTTCAACGCCAACCAGAGCCTCAGCCAACGGGCCTTCGGGCGGGGAGGGCGCGGGCGGGTCACTCGGGGTGCGGGTGCGGGTACCGGCAGGAGGCGGCCCCCTGGCGCCCGCCGCCCCCACCAGCCTTGGGGGCCCGGGGACCCCGGGGCGGGCCGCGGCCGCGCTCCTCCTCCTCGCGCAGGGCCTCCTCGTAGTGCGGCGCGAAGGCGGCGGGCACCGTGTCGTTGAGCCGCGCCAGGAACTCCAGCACCTTCATCTTGCTGGTCTCGGCCTGCGCGCGCGGGCCCCACAGGAACTCGAAGCGCGGCGGCTCGCTGAGCGGCACCTGCCGGTACACCAGGTAGCGCTCCTGCACCAGGTCGCGCGTGATGAGCTGGCGCGGCTCCCCGAACACGAAGTCGCTCTTGCCGTCGTAGACGCCCATGGAGCCCAGGAAGGCCCAGATCTCCTCCTCGGACGCGCAGTTGCCGTTCAGGAAGATGACGCTCAGCAGCGGCATGAGGATGCCCCTGCGCGGGAAGCGCCCGCCGGCCGCGCCGCCCGGGGCCCGCGCCGCCCCCGCCGCCGCTCCCGCCGCTGCCGCTGCCGCCGCGCGGGTCCACCAGGAGGTAGGCGCTGCCGTGCGGCTTGGCCTCCTGCAGCTCCAGGCCGAACAGCAGCTGCAGGCGCTCCTGCGCGCGCGCCAGGATGTCGGGGAAGTCCTTGCGGTAGCGCTTGTGCACCACGCGCAGCATGTCGCCGCGGCGGATGGGCTCCTTCATCTTGTACTGGTACAGCAGGAACTCCACCAGCAGCGCCGCCTTCTGCGCCAGCAGGTCGGGGCCCGCGCCCTCGGCCGCCGCCGCCCACGGGTACGTCTTGCTCTTCGGGGCCGGGCCTCGGGCTCTCCCCGTCGCCGGCGCCGCCGCGCCGCTCGGGGGTCCCAGGGGCGCGTCCCCCGACACGGACAGGGCGCCCGCGGCCGCCCCCTCAGCCCCCGCGGCGGCCTGGGCGCCCCGGGCTCTGGCCTCGGCGCGAGCGCGTTGGCGCCTCTCGCGCGCGCGAAGCTTACTCTTCCGACCGCGAGGCATGGCGGCGGCCTTCGGCGCAGGGGCGGGCGTGGGCCGCGGGCAGGACCGGACTGGACGGGGACGGGACAGACGGGCGGCGGCGCCTTCGGGACAGTTACAGGACCGGGTGGTGGGTGGTCCGCTCGGGGTCCTCACCTAGACTCCAGGCCAGGCCTGTGGATCCGCCGCCCTCGCCGGACCTGCCGCCCTCACCACCGGACGACAGAGCCGCTGCGCATGCGCCAGCCACCTGCCGCCCCCACCTCCGGGACTTGGCCGCTGCTGCACATGCGCCAGGAACGGTCCTCGGCGCCTGAGCGGAAGTCGGAAGTCCAAGCGGAAGTGGGTGGGTCCTCCACGGTCATTGTGTGGTTGTAAAGGTCAAAGGTCATATCCAGTGCCCTTGAAGTGCTGGGAAAAGCATTGATGAGTTGTCACATTATTTAAAATAGTATATTAATACAGTGATAAAAATACAGTCACATACATGTATGTGTGCGTATGTGCATATGTGACTGTGTGCCGCCGGCAGCGCCCACGGGCGCCGGAAAGGGATCCGTACTTCCTGCCCTTGCCCGGTGACACCGGTTTTCAGCCTGAGATCGGGGAGCATTTAGGCCGCGGCATCAGCGGGCACCGCCCGACCCCCAGAAAGCCTGTCCGTGAACGTTAGCAGCCGCACGCAGTGAGGGCGTTATGTGTGTGCAAGCGCTTCTGTACAAAGAGGTGTGACTGTGCACACACACACACAAGACCCTATACGGGACTTGTCATAGCTCATTTCCTCCTTTTTTAAGTTTTTTCTTACTGTGACAGTATTGCAGAGGCCCCATCCCCCACGCCAACCACGCAGCAGGCCGCACCCCAGCCTCCCGCACCCGACCTCCACACCACGTGCCTGTGCTGGCTTCGCGCATGCGCAGACCAGCCTGGGTGGGACGGAACCACCGCCAGTGGAGCAGAGGGGACTGCGGAGGCGCCTACGTCTCTTTAAAGCAGCGGTTCTCAACCTGTGGGTCGCGACCCTTTGGGGGTCGAACGACCCTTTCACAGGGGTCGCTTAGACCATCAGAAAACACATATATAATTACATATTGTTTTTGTGATTCATCTCTATGCTTTAATTATGTTCAATTTGTAACAATGAAAATACATCCTGCATATCAGATATTTACATGACAGCAGCAAAATTACAGTTATGAAGTAGCAACAAAAATAATTTTATGGTTGGGGTCACAACATGAGGAACTGTATTAAAGGGTCGCGGCATTAGGAAGGTTGAGAACCACTGCTTTAAAGTGTGAAATCGCCCCAAGTGGACGGTAGGCAGTGTTCCTGTCCATGGTCACTTTAGGCGGTTTTTTCGTTCCTTTACTTTCAAGTTTTTCACATCCTTTTGATTTAGAGTATGATTTAGAGCTGATCAATTCTGGCTTTTTCTCATCCAGTGTCATCACCTCCATTTTTTCATCGTGGGGCAGGAATCCATTTATATTTATTAATCTTACTAATATATTTGTATTTCTTCCACTATTTAAAAAAATTTTTTTGTTCTCATAAATTCAACAGAAGTCAGAAACAACTAAAAAGAGAATGCTGCATTTCCTCTATTCTCTTTTTTTCTCAGAGAGTTTTGAAGTTATCGGCTATATTTTTTATCTTTTTTGGTTACTCTTAGGAATGCATGTTTTTAAAACTAATTGGATTTTCTTACCAAGTCTGGCGTTTTCTGTCCTCCTTCTGAACCAAAGATCTGAGCATGTTTTAACTACGCTTTCAATGTTTCCTCCTATTGCAATAGCGCCAACATTTACTTTAGCTTTTTAAAAACACACGTACACTCACTGATCATGTTCATGTCTATTTTAAATCAAATTTACCAACTTTTAAAAAACCTATTTCTGTGCTCATCGTGTCTTTAATTCCATGTATAGATTGTATGGGGGGTTCGTTTTCTTTTTGTTGAAGTAAATATGGCATCACTGAGACCTGTGAATGGTGAAGCTCTGTAGTCCTGCACGTCAGAAGCTGCCAGTCTTTCGCCCTCCTCCCTGAATGAGCGTTTATCTGAATAAACATTCCTGTTGGTCGTCGTTTTCCCCGAAACACAGATCACCTTAGTCCCGTTTCTAGAAGCATCTATTGTTGCAGTGAGAGAGCTGCTGAAAGACCAACGACTGTACCAACTGCTTTTCTTCCTTCTTACTCTGGAAACGGTAGATATTTCTTCTCCTCATTGCTAAGGTTCTACAGTTTGACGATGTAGCTCAGGGTAGACTTACTGATTTTTATTTCCACCCGTTGAAGCGCGTTTTCAATCGGAGAGCTCCTGTTCTCGGATTCAGCGTTTGTCTCTTTATTTGCTGTTTCTGCAGTTCCCCTGGACCTCTCCTTCTAGAAGGCAGAGGAGGACAAGCCAGGGCCTCCGACGAGAGCTCTTCACTGCTCAGAGGGCTCTGTGGGTCTCCCTCCGTTCCATTACGGCCGGGTTGCTCCGGACCTTGCACGAGTTCATAACCGTCTTCATATCCAGCCCAGGTTTACTTCACTTACTGAATGTTTTACTTTGTAATTGCATCCCACATTTCCAAAATTCCTAGCTGGTTCTCTTAACCTTCTATTCTTAACACAGTTCTTCCTGTTCTGTTTGCATGTGTGTATGTATTTCTGTGTAAAATTTAAATGTCTGTTTAGGTCCTCAGGTTTTATAAAAACCATCTCATTTTTAGAAGATTGATATCCCATCAAGGATTTTATTGGATGTCTTTCACAGCATGCATTTTGGACTGCCGGTTGCAGGCGCATTTTTGAGTGGGACGTTTTAGGACTTTCGTTGGTTATTTGGGGAGGGGGGTCTCTATGTCTCCCTCCTCCATGCTCCCTTCCCTATAAACCCCTTTGAATTTGACTCCGCAGGTGCTGCTGGCCCTGCCGGAAGCTGGAGGTCGGGCTGGGGCTGGGAGAGATGCGCACCAGCCGAGGGTACATACAGGTCATCCTGCTGCACACAGTCCTGAAACCAGGGGTTCCGGCCGAGGGTTCAGCCTCCTTTCCCGTCTGCAAGCCCCACCTTACCCTTCATTTCAATGGGGCTGGTGCCTGCCCCCGGGTTCAGAACGCGTTTCTGCACCGCGGTCCTCGCAGAAGCCGACCCTCCAGCGCCGCCCCAGCTCCGGCTCCGGCTCAGCAGGCTCCTGGCTCCCGCCCGGCCCCCCACGTGCAGGGCCCCGTTTATGCGGCGGGTCCTGAGGGACTGGTCCTGTTTTCTGGCCGCGCCTTCCTGAGCTCCTCAGTGTTGGTGTTTGCACAGGAGGGCTTCCTCCCACATGAACTGGTTGAGCCGTTGGGACAGAAGTCTTTTATTTTATATTCAAGAATGAAAATAAAAATGTATTTCTCTTTTTAGAGTGACATCCCTTTTAAATCTTAGCTCTGTTTCAAAAAATGGGAACTCATTTTAAACAATAACTTTGAAATTTAAATTTCTAATTTGTTTTTCTTTCTTTTGTGAAAGTTTTTATCTCTGGACACATACTTGAAATGTTGGTGACAATGTGGTCTTACAACAGTTTTGCTTCTTGAATACTAAGTTATAAACGTTTCATTTTCAAACAAACATCCAACATAAAGTACAATAAAACCGTGTCCTGGCGAAGCCCTCCGTTCGGGCTAACGCCGGGCTGGGCTCCATGCGAAGTGAACGCGGTTGGAGCGCCGCAGAAACACCTGCCGCAGCCTCCGTTCCACCCGCAGGGAAGGACATTCAAGCGCGTCTATCTGCAAGTCTGCGGCCAAACATCTTCACACGCAATCATTTCACTGGCAAACTCTCCATCTGGGTTTTTAAAAAGTTCTCACAGTCACGTGAGAGTCTGTCCGAATGTCTCATCCCAACCGTATCTACAACTTCACGTTCTTTCCGCTTTGCTTGCCCTCGCGCTTGCACCGCACCGCGTGCCAACACAGCAAACTCTAATCTCCCGGCAGACGTGGGAGCCCCTGGCACAGGTTTCTTCCTCGTGAAGAACGTGTCTTCCCAGGATCCCCGCTTCCCTCCCTGCGGCCCATGAGGCATCGTCCCCCCCCTCCCGGGACCTGCTCCAGGCGCCTGGGCACCGCTCTGACCACATCGGGTAAAAAATGACCCGGGCTGCAGTGACCAGCCCGAGTGTGGGCAACGGGCAAGTCTGCCGTCACCAAGCTCCCCCGACACACACCTCCGGGCCCTGCACATCCCGTGGGGTTCGTTTCTCGGTTAGATGTGCCCTGAACTCTCCACCGAGAAGTTGGGGACATCGCTGCCCCGGCCCATCTCAGCCGGGTGAGGACCCGCACCAGGGGGTAGTCAGAGCCTGGAGGGCTGAGCGGTCTCTGTACAGAAGGTAAGGGTATTGTGTGTGTCCGGGTCCGCCTGTGAGGTCGGCCCACCACGAACACGCAGCCTGGCCGCTCGCATGTCGCGCCCGGAGCACTCCTCCTCCTCGGTTCATCCGGGCCTGCCTCTCCCTGGAAAGCTAAGAGGGCCCTTCCCCGGCTCACCGAGTCCAGCACGCCAGCGCACGCACGCAGAGTGGGGTCCATGCCCTGCACTCGGGCACAGAACTGTGCGTAGCTCCCGCTTGTCCGCGGGAGGAAGCCAGCCCCTGGGCACTGCACTAAGGACCTGCACAGCCGGCTGGGGCTGCCTCTGCAGCTTCTCCTTCAATCCCGCCCTCCCCGGCCGTGTGTCATGTAGATTTATTTAAAACTCCCCACAGGGGCCCTGGTCGCACATACCTCCACGCCTCAGACGCCTGGACCTACCTTGTTCCTGATGACACTCTGGCCCGCCTCCTTCTCCTCTGAGAGGCCTCCCGGGTCCCTCGGTGCCGTGGACACACCTCACTTCACAGATGGGCTGCCGTGTCGCCCTCTCTGCCAACAGCTGGTCCTTCTCCCGGGAGCTTCCCTGCTCATCAGGCTCTGGTGTCTGAAGGCAGCTGGTAAGTGTCTGAGATGAATAGGTTGAGGGGGGGGCGGGGGGGAGACAGGCGCTTTGTGAAATTGATGGGGCAGAAGTAGAAGAGGGGGGACCAGCTATGCTTGTAACAAATGTTAGTCACACTCTGTTAACCGTGATTGTGGGGTTCTGGTTAGAGAAGGCACGTGCTCACCTGGCTGGGAGGTGCACGTGAGGCCTGGGAGCTCGCCTGGAAGTGCAGCCTGTCCTCCCCATCAGGGAGCTGCTTGTTACCATGGAGATGAGCAACCTGTTGCAGAAACCAGAGCCGCCAGCTCTTTGCATATCGCCAGCGCTTTGAAGACCCCCCACCTTTGCATACCTGCAGGTGTTCGCAAGTCTCCAGCCCCCACTGCCTGTCACCTGCCCACTTGGCACACCCTTTGCCCACTTCCCCTGTAATCTCTGTCCTTCTGCCCAATATAAACAGCTGGTTTATGGGGGGCAGAGCAGACGTGTGTGGGTGGCCTGCTGCTCTCCCTGCTGCCGGCAGGACTGGACTAAACGCTCACACAGGACTCCGCGCTGTCTCTGCTTCACTGGCTCAGGTAGTGACAGGCAGCCCCATTGATTGATTGTCCTGTTACAAAAGGACCTGGGTTGATCAGTAGGGCTGGGTTCATTCGTTCGTTCATTCATTCATTCATGACGAAGCCCTTATTGCTCTCCTAACGTCTGTGAAAGGTGGGACCCGGCTTCTCAGGGACACAGGGTGCCCTCTCCTGTCCGTGTGGGGCTCCCGTTCTGTGCAGGACGGTGATCAGCCAAGTAACTCAGGGCAACTCTTCGAGCCGCTCTCCCAGCCCCAGTCCTCCCGCAAAGGCTTCTCTCCCCCGTGTGGGCTGTGTGGACGCTCCCGCCGGAGTCCCTGTGACTCGGCCTAAGATTAAATCCAAGTGGTCCTGGTGGAACTGCGAGGCCTCTTCTCTGGTTCCCGCCTGCCTGCCCCTCCGTGGGGACAGTGGTGAGCGGTCGCAGTGCCCGGGGACACACACCTCGCAGGGAGGTTTGGGTTGTGCCTAAATAGCAAATAGCCACGGACCCGTGGCATCTCCTGCCCCGCGGAGCTGCCCTCAATCCGAGCAGCGACTTCCGTTTTGCATTTTTTCCTGAAGATTAATGAGATCCCAGGCCCCGGGCTCTGATGAACCACCATGGAATTTCCTTTGAGGTTATTTTTTTCCTCAAATTCAAGACACACTATTTCACTTCCTCCTTGATTTTTTTCCCAGAAATATTTTTGTCTTTTTTATAGTTTATCCAGATTAAGTCACAGGCCTGCACCCTGGCCCCACGGAGCTGGGCTGACAGGCACCTAGGGACCAGGTAGTCCCTCCCAGCTGGGGAGTCACCCACAGGCTCCCTCCAGGCAGAGGAGCCC